GCAGGTGCAATGTGAGAGGAAGAAAGAGGTGGGAGTTGGCAGAGAGGGAATGGAGGTGGGGGAGGGGGGTATTCGAGGCAGTGGGCTGATTGCGTGTGGGACGCGTTGGATTGTGGCAGTTTGCGGAGGATGGGAATGCGGTGGATCTTCCAGCGATGCCAAGGAAGGCGCGCACAGGTGGGTATGGGTGGGTGAAGAGAGGGTGGGAGGTGATTTGGAGAGGATGGGGAGGGGGGAGGGGAGTGGGGAAAGAGGGTGGTGGGAGGAGGTGGAGCGGTGCTGACAGGGGGGAGTGGTGGTACTGCAGCGATTGGGAAGCGTCCGCACGAGGCATCGACGCCACCGGTGGCGGAGTCGCCGGGGCACACGGGAGGAGTAGGGGGAGGGGCTGCGGCTCCATCGAGCACGGTGTCATCGTCATCGATAGCGTCATTGAAGGCGGAAAAACGGACGGTAGGAATGATGAAGGGTGAGGGATATAGGATGAGGTGGGAGGGAATGTGTGGGATGTTGGTTGATGGAAAGCGGGAAATGAAATGGTGGTGGGGTGGAAGTGGTGACGGGGGTGGCGTTGGTGGGTGGTGCAGAAACCAAGCGCATCGAAACAGCGGGCTCACAAATTGCCGAAGGTAAAAATGTTTTGTCTGTCTATTCCACTTTTGTATAAGATTGTAAAGAAACTTGGTTAATGCGAGTGCAGGGAATTAAGGTAGCGGTGAGCCAAGTGCTTGCGTCTTAGAGTTCAACTGTGTCTACCGATCAGACATACCGAGCTGGAAATGCAGATGTTTTTGGGAGTATAACATAATGGTGACCTTGTTCAATTCATCTTGGTCCTTGCTGTATTGCTAGTTGATGGTAGCATTGTGAATTTGTTTTCAACATTACCTCTCTGTAAAGTCAGGCAGTTTTGAACGAGGTCGCACATGTGCAGGTGCATCCTTGTTTTTTTGCAGCACGGTTTTATTTGCTGAATAGGTGTTTTATCTTAATGAAATTGTCAGGTTACAGCACCATCTTTGGTGTCGGAGCAAGAAGTGGAAGTGGCGGAGGCCTTGTTCGACCTGGCAAGAATGTTCTCGCAACCTGCTGCAGCCGTAGTGGAATCTAAGACCGAGATAAAAGTGATACATAATGACCTGAAATTTGAAGCAAAATTAGATAGGAAAGTTTCAGCCGGTTCCGGAAGCAGTCTACCACCCCAACCATCTAATTCTGCAGCCGTTGCTTCATCAGTTTGGAATGCAGCTCCCGCCTCAGGTGCAGCTGTTGTTGGAACTGTCAAGGGTACTTCGCCTGTTTCAGCGTCTGCCGCCTCACCCATTCCTTCACCTCCAGTAGCGGCTTCAAGCGCAGAGGGTATGCCGTACATTGCATTGTCCTCAGTTTTGCAATTCTTAGAATCTTACTATTAGCAACAATCTATATTCACATCGCGGCAGGCTGTCATCAAACGTGGTTGCGACGAGCGCTGTTGCTGTATCTAGTTGTGAAGCGCCAGGCACTATGTAACTATTGTGTTTATTTATTTATATTCTCCTAATTTTTTATTTGCAATATATTAGGTATTATTGAATCACGATTACTAATTTGCAATTCATTTACTGGTGCTTCTTATGCAGTTGTGAAACGTAAACGACCTAGGGTGAGAGCTCGAACCGAAGAAGGTTCCGTGCCGCAGTCTAAGACAGGTCCTAATACAACGAGTACTGTGGCAAATCCTTCTGGAACTGGCGCAGCTCAAGTGAAAGATGCGGATCAAAGCTCAAACAAAGTATCAGTTGTGGACAGAATTGTTTCGAAAGTGGAGAGTAGTACCACAGTGACACCCGCTGTGTTTGCGAGCCCTACCAATGTTGCAATTTCGTCAAGCAGCACACACAGTATAGCAGTCGTACCGAGTGGCGTTGCCGCTGCTGGTCCTACAGCCACGGCAACTGAAGGTGGTGCAGTTGGTGGTGCATTCCCACGTGCGGATAAGTCTATTGTGGAAAAGAAGGTTTCGCAATTGGAGAAGAAGACTTCGCCTGGTGGTGGAAAAGCGGATGTAGCAAACTCCAACTCGCAAGAAGAGAAGGCTACGAGTTCTCCGGTTCAGGAGAAGAAGATTTTGGTAAGTGAGTCGGCAGGCCATGGAACAATCGCGAAAGTGGAGTTGGATCCAATTCTGAGCACCAGCATTGCTGTGGAGGAAGTAATCACTAAGATGGAGCCCGAGAAGAGGTGTGAACTTGCAGTACCACGTCAATCTGTTCATTAATGGTTTAAGCTTGTAATATGGGTGAACGAATTATTGAATTTTGTACACAACTGACCCTATGTCGTTTATATTGGCAGGCCTTCTCTGCCGCCAGCAGATGTGGATCGCGCACCAAAGCGAGAAATTGACCTCATGGTACGTTGAGAGTGGAATTTGCAGTGTCGGATTGGTAGTGACAGTTTGCTTCGGTGCTGGTGGTGTTGGTTGGAGTAGCCTCTGACTTGTAGGTTTCGTGTATCCAGGTGGCTCCAACCAACTTGGAAGATGCGTCGAGCCCTGAGAAGGACGGTGACAGTGAGGAATGTGATGTCCGGGATGCAACAGAGAAACCTGCGGTACGTTGGATTGCTGAAAGCTGATGATGATCGACAAGGGGAAGGAGCATCGTCAATAGATGTGTATTGTTGACACATTTCAATGGTGTTGAGACGTGGTGTTTTGGTGTTTTCGCAGGTTGATTTGGTTATTACACCAGGTGTACGTGATGCTCTGGCGGATAGAGAACAAGAAAGAGAAGTCTCCGAGCGAGCAGAAAGGGACAAAGTGAAAGAACAGGAGAAAGAGAAAGAGAAAGAGAAACAGAGGCAACAAGAATTGGAACGTGATCGTGACGAAAACGAGCGTCGACGCGAGGCTGACAATCAGAGAGAGTTGGCAAAAGACACGTCAAAAGAGCGGGAAATAGATAAGGAAAGGGAACGGTCGGAAATTAGCAAGGTGGGTGTGCAGAGATCGAGTAAGGTCATGAAGGGTGAAAATGGAAGGACTTCAAGGACAGAACGAGCAGGTGTGTGGTGTCTGGGTGTATAGCGTCTGAAGTCACCGTGTTTTCTAAAATTGTAAATGTTCATGACATGCGTGTTCGGGAGCATCTTTTAGTGTACTAAAGCTTAATTTGTGCATTTATATTCTGATTTGTACAGAAGGGTCGGTAGTTAAGTTATTTGCGGATGTCTTGGTGTGGAGTCAATTGATTTTAAATATCTTTGAATTCAATGTTTTCAAATATAACTGAACTCACACATATAAGTCAATTTCGATGGGTAGCTCAGCAATGGGTACCTTCAAAATTGGGCACGGTGTGATTTTTCATATTACGGACTATTTACTGAAAACTGATTTACGATTCGACATAAGATAATGCTTAATTGAAGTCTAATTTTGGCAGGATCAGCCGTTGCGACCACCGCATCACAACTACTTGTCCCAGTTCCTCCTGTACCTACCACTTGTCCTTCTGGTTTGGGCGCGCATGTCGCGGCACTCCCTATGTCCATGGGAATGCTTGGCTGGCCTGCAGGAATGCCTGGTAGCATCCCTGCTAGCTTAGGGTAAGTCTTCACATGATATCTGGACTTAGGTAGTATGCTTATGGATATTGGATTAAATCGTTTTCAATATTACTTGTAATCTTACAGCATCTATAAACGATGCAGATACTATCCTACGGCAGCGGCAGCGGCAGCAGCAGCGGCGGCACTTTCTGAGGAAAGTTCTCCTGCTATTCAGGTACGATGCTGGAAAGCAAAACACATCCACTGCACGCCTGGTCTTAGTTTCTGCTCCCAACTCATAAGAATGACACAGTTCAGTTCATCGTTTAGGGACGGATCCAGTTTAGAATACACAACGTGACCGAATTTGTCTTTGTGCAGTTGCCATACATCGTGCCTCCACGACCACAATTGAAGCGCTGTGCTTTGCACGTGTACATTGCACACTTCATTGACGTGCAGCAGCAGTTGAATCGGCATCAGACATTCTTCTCGGTGCCGAACCAGGGGTACCCGAAGTCGTACAACTTGAACGTGCCTCTGGGTCCGTCGGATGGTGTATTTGGAGGTAGTCCCATGATGGGTGCTGCTGGCGGAGCAGTTGCGAGCGGCTCTGCAGGAGGCGGCGCCAAAATGGAGGCGACGGATCGCGGGTTGAATGCTGCCGCGATGGCTGCAGCAACAGCGGCGAGCGTGCAGGGAGCGAAAGAGCGGGGATACAACTTGGAGATGGTGGGACGGAAATCGCCGGGGCGGCAGCAACACGGCGGGCAGCAGGCAGCGGCATTGTCTTTGCAGGTGCGAGTAGCGAGAAGGAGGGTGAGGGTGAGGTGATGGTGAAGGAGGCGGTTGTGTGGTTTTGTGGATTGGGGTTGTGCGAGGAGGGGTCGGGGTGAGGTGGAGGGGACGGAGGGGGATGGGATGAAGTTGGGTGTGGTAGTGATTGATGGAGACGGTAGATTAGAGGATGGTATGGTCTGGAAGCACGGTTGTCTGGGTTGGAAATGATGGTAATGGGGTTGTTTGGGGATGCAGAGTGGGTTGATGTTGGGGTTCCCCGTGACTCAGAGCGCGAGCCCGTGTGGCGCGGGCGGTGGTGGTGGGGGAGGTGCGGCGGGAGCAGGGACAGTGGGGGGAGCGAATGTGAACTTGGTGGGTGGAGGAACGTTGGGTGGGACGAGCGCGGTGGGAGGGAGCAACTCGGCAGTGATATTGGGGCCGGGTGCGGTGGGTGGTGCAGGGAGCAACGGAGGGGTGACGTCGGCAGCAGTGCAAGCTCAGTACATGCAGGCGATAATGCAGCAGCCGCAGGGATATCCGTTCGGGCAGTTCCCGGGTCCTTTTGGGCCGGCTGCGTTCAATGGGCCGGCGGCTCACATGGGTGCCCAGCAGGTGAGGAGGGGGGGGGGAGATTGGAGTTTGCGGGTAGGAGAGGGGATGGGTGGAGAGTTGGGGGGTGTGGGGATGTGTGTGACGAGGGGCTGCTGGTGGTGTGTGCAGGCAGCGGCACAGTTGTCTGCGGCGGGTGGGACGTACTTCTGCGCATCACATGGTG